AAAAAAAAAAAAAAAAAAAAAAAAAAACACATCATAGTAAAACCAATACCTTCTCAGCGTCGCATCGAAGCTAAAAAATATGTTTTTTTTTGAGTTAAAATTCTTGGTATTGTATTTTAAAACGCTTCTCTGGAAAAATTACTTAGCGTGCCTGGATTTTCAAAATTTTTTTTTTCAACAAAAGTACTCGGTCACGAGACCTCATGAAAATTATTGTCGAAGGTCAGAAAATTTTTGTCGCTCGCCCGCAAGCGCTTTAAAAATTTCTGCCGTTTTCGAGAAAAACCATCGCCGACGCCAGCGTTATACAACTTATGGTTGGAAATTTTTACCAGACCTACTCAATGACATTTGAGATATCATATAAAAATCAATTCAATCCGTTCATTTTTCACCGTTTTACGACATTTTTTTTTCACACGCTCAAGACAACATCATGATACATACAACGGCATACGTTGATTTTCAATTTTTTTTAGTCCACGCGCATGTATTTAGTAAAGGAATCATTGACTCATTTGTAAATATTGTGACCCATAATTTTGTGAAAATTTTAAAAAAATTAATTTTCTATTTAATTAGTTTTTAATATAATGTAATTGTTTTTATATATGTATTGACTGGGTTAAATTATTAACTATCATTTCTATAACTTTTTTTCTGATATTATGTTAGGTAGTTACATATTACATATTAAATTAACTATTAATATTGTAAATTTACTATCACTTTCTTTTAAATTAGTTTACAATTCAAAATATTTTCATATTTTAGGAAAGAGCATATTTTTATTATTTTTTTTAATTTTGATGTTTTTTTTTATAAAAAAAAAAAAATACCTATCAACAATGATTTTTGAAAACGCTCCAAGTGAATATTTCAGTAACAAACGTCAACCACATTCTCAATACATTTTATTATTTTTGAATTTTGAATTTTCCTGATTTTAATAATTAAATTTTTAATATGTTTTTTTGTTACACTAATTTTGATGTAATATTTTTTTCTGTAAACACTTATCGTACACGGCGTACCCGGGTATTCCTATCGGAGTCAGCGGCCTACTTACAATAACGGATCATAAGGCCCCGGGTCTTGGGCCGAACCCCAGCTAGGCGAATCCTAGTACCTTATAAAAGTAGTACACTGATTTTCATGAATATTATAGAAATCTATTTGACATAGAATATAAACTTAAACTTTTTTTCTAAATTTTTTTGCTTCTTTGAGTCAAAAAAAGTAACTCATAAAATTGACTACTTATTATTGTCAATTACAAACATAAAAGTTGAGCTAAAAGCTATAGTAACTAATTCAATTTTCTTTTTATTATAAACTTTCAAAAAATCAACTTTAAAGGACCAAAAAAATAAGTTAAAATGACATTTTGCATTGATTATTTTTAACATATTAAAAATCAGTAATAATTTGAAAACAATTTTTTTTATTTTTAATTATTTTATTTACATGTAAATACTCAATTTTTTCTAATTAGTAATAATAACAAAACTTAGAAGTGATAGAAAAATTATAATTTCAGATTTGAAAAGTATTGGAGAAAGTTCATTTAGAAAAATATATTTTTGATTCTGATGAAAGTTAATACACAAATTATTGTAAAATTTAACAGATTTGCATCAATGCGTTTTTTATTATGGTAATGTTAATCTTCGTCAGATATCAACTATATTTGTTACGACTATGCGGCATCTTCAATATACAAGATTTTTTAATGCAAATTTAATTGTAATAATTTTTATAAATATTACTAGTTATAAATTATTATTATAAATAAAATAATAAATGCATAGAATATGAATTGTTGTTTTATAAATATTTCCAAGTGACCAAAATTTATAACACATATTTTTTATGATTTCAATACGTCATTATTGTATAAGCACAAAAAATAATGAATATGGGGTAGAAGTTGAGTGTCAGCATCAATTGGAAGTGCCACATAGTGATGCGATTATCATGCCTTCTATTTCCACTATTTGGATTTATTTGCATTTGTGTTAAAACACAATATTTTTTAATTGTATTCTTTTAAAAGAATATTATTGAACTTTTGTTGTTTTTTATCGAGAATATTAATATGCGTTTATTTATAATTTTTCATTTTGTTTTTTGAATAATATTTTTAAGATATCCTTAAAAAAAATTTTTTTATTGTGTTTGTCATGACCAGGGTTCGGGACTTATAGCACTTAAAAACACAATAATAAGCGCTAAAATATGTACTTAAAAACCGTAAAATATGCATAGAAAATTTAAAAATTATCCACTTAAAAACCGTAGAATTTGCATAAAAAATTAAAAAATATACATTTAATATATTTATTATTTTAATAATAATTATTCATTACAATTAGTTTAACATTAAAATATTTTAATAAAATTAAATAATTTTTCACTTGCTTCTTAAATTTTCCATTTTTTTTTTTAATTTATTCGTAGCTTTAAATAATAGTAAAATTAAAAATTGAATTTATCATTTAAATCAATCAATAAATAATATTGTTTTAATTATTGTCTTACTTTTGTTGTTACATTGAATAATTAAATGTTTCCGCAAATTTTCAAATGTAAATGCTCTTCGATTGTCAGATAACAGAGTTTTGTAAGCTGAAAATGACCTCTCTACATCCACTGAGGTGGTTGGTGCATATTTAAAGAACACAAAGTCGTTGCATGAATAATCTTCCGGAAATTGACTCATATCCAAAATTTGATCTTCTTCTTCTAAAATGTTTAATATTTTTTCCAGAATTTTAAGACCTTCATTCTTTTCAAAAACTTTTTGTAATTTTAAAAGTACTGCTTTTCCTTGAGTTCCTTTTAATGATTGAAATTTTGATGTTACTTCTTGAATTACAGAAAGTGATTCAGCCAATGGAAGGTTTTTCGTTTGTAATTTCACAATGGCCATTGTAATAACTTGAAAATTACTTTTGATATAAGTCAAGTTGTTTTCCAATCCTGGTTTCAGTATGCATAATTTAACTTTTTTAATACAATCTGCATCATTTTCGTCTAGGGCATTTATTACGCTATATATTATTTGGAAATTTTCACAGTAATAAATTGCGGCTTCAAGCCATGTCCCCCAACGCGTTAAGATAGGTTCTGGTGGTAATCTAATTTCTGGAGCTATCGATTTAAACAATGCAATACGGTATGGGGCTTTACGAAAATTTTTTTTCATATTTGATATAAACTCGTCAACAAGATTAAATTGTCCACGAATTTCTTCAGCTATCCGATGAAGTGCATGTGCACTGCAGGTGGTGTGTATCATTTTGGTGTATAAATTTTTAAGAACTGAACCGGCCTTCACCATGTAAGGAGCTGCGTCGGATAAGAATAGTAAGACGTTGTACATAATATCTCCAGGCCATAAAATGGTCATTGTTTTATTAAAGACTTTACAAATAGTATTATGATTTGTTTTTTCTAACTCTTCCGAGTGCAGAAGAAATGAATGACCAACACAATCTGGCTTAACAATGCCAACAATAACATTTGCCACACATCGTCCTTGTACATGACATGTTTCATCAACTGACACCCAAATTTGATTTTTTCCAATTTCAATTCTAATTTTATTCATTACTTGGTTGTAGATGTCGTCAATATATCTTTTTCGTAAGAAAGCTTCAAATAAAATACTTTTACCCGTATATTTTTCTAAAAATGAACGAAATATATTGTTTGAAAGTTTATTAAACGGTATGTTCGCGGCCACCATTGCTTCGCATAAATCCTTATTAAAATCTGATTTGGTAGATTGATTGGTTAAAAGTTGTTGTGATTTCCTTTGAACTTGATCTTTTTGGCGTTTGGTACTTTTAACGTGTTTTTCAGTTCGAATGTGTTGGCTTACGTTAAACTTTTTTTCGAAATTNGGCTTACGTTAAACTTTTTTTCAAAATTAATCTTTATTTCACAAACTTTGCAAAATAATACAAACCCATTAGTAGATAATATTTCAGATCCAAATTCAGACACATAGTTTCTCAAACGCGCACTAGTGGATTGTTTTACTTTCCCTATTTTTAGTATATTATGTTTATGAAAAAATGTAACGCGATAATAAGCACACAAGTGAATTCACGGCAACAGATAAACGTTGCGGACTGAACAAATAATCGAAATTATTACCTAAATAACTATTATCGCCTTATCGGCGCTAGCCGTCCGAACTATATTTACCGGGAATACCTTTAGTTTCACAGAACATATTATAAATACGTTATATTATATAATTGTCGTATCGCCCATATCGTAACAAATCTTATATGTAGCGATACAAACAATATGGGCTTTCATACTTTTTAAAAATGAAGATATTTTTCAAACACGAAAATTAAAAGGGATTGTGACTTGTATATTGCAAATAGTACATAAGACTGCATTATTATTTCTTTTTTTGGTTGGTTGACATTTGTAAATTTGAAAATTTTAATAATTTTCCAAAATATGCAGTATAAGCACAAAAACGTTAAAATAAGCACTTTTCTGCAAAATCTATAAAATATGCAAAAATATGCACATTCAAATTTTCGATTTTGTATAACGGTATTGAGAAATGAATTTATTTCGCACTCTGCTACATTTTACAATAAATAAAAAAAATATGCAAATCCTATAAGTCCCGAACCCTGGTCATGACCAAGAAAACCACTGTTTCATAAAGGTAAAGAATTTCGATAAGTCTAACTAAGGTACTCATTGGTTTTTGCTAGCATAAGCTGTTCCACTTGCCATAAGTAGGTCTTAGACCGACTTTTCGAACTTGGTACCAGCACTCTCTTCTTATTGGTACTGATAGCTACAACCTTTATAGTACAAATACTACCTTGGGTTAATTCTGAATACATCCCACTGTAAAAGACCAATCTCGAGAAAAGTGTCGATCTATTAATAAATTTTCACAGTGAGGAGTTAGTGTCATTATTTTACTAGTTAAATGTTACCAGGAGTATTCGACATAGTGAAAAAAACATATTTAATAGTATAGTTTTTAAAGTACAGCTTTTTATGAGCTGTAATAAAATTTATGTAACAATTAAAGCTGTTTCAATATAAAATTAATGCTATTTTAATATTATTAAATATTCATAAAAAAAATATTACTTTGAATAAATCACAAAATATTTTATTTAATAAAGTATTTATTGATTATTCTTTAAAATAAAGAAAAAAAAATGAAAATTTCAACTTACAAATAAATAAACACCAGTTTACGTGACTCTATTCGTGAGTTTAATATAAAATTTAAAAAATATTAAAGACCTTATTATTAATTATATTTTTCTCTAGTTTGTATTTTAACATAACATCCATCAACAAAAGCTAAGTTCATTGAAAACATTGTCCGAAGATTCTCAGGGTTTGGGCATTTATCAGAAGGGGAGAAGTGGTAAGATCTAATAAGTGTAGATAGTACCGTCTTCATATTAATAATGGAATATTTTAATCCAGCACAAACTCTTAAACCACCGCCAAATGAAAGGAATGCATATGGATGACGCTTGAGACACACTTCTGGCAAAAAATTATCTGGGTTAAATTTTTCTGGATCTGGGTAAAGTTTTGGGTTTGAATGTACAACATATGGAAATACAGTGATTGTCGTACCTAAAAATTTATAATTTTCTAGATTTATTGAAAAAATCGTAAATTGTAACATTTTAAATAAGGTTTGAATTGATTTATAGAAATCAAACTTTTTTATCATTTACGCTTTTATAAGAATGCAATAACAATGATTCATAACATTATGCATATATATATATATATATATTTTTTTTTTTTATGAACGTTGTGGACAAAACAAGAAAATGTAAAAATGTTAGCGATATCATCGAAAACTACAATGATTTTAGTTAACTCAGTATTCATGTACATCCTGCTAATATGATTTACATAAAAAAATTAATATATATTTAATGTTGTAATAAGACTCCATAAGTTATTTAATATAATCTAATTATATAAATTTTAAATAAGTCAATATAGCAAAATTCCGATAAAAAGTTTAAAATCTTGCAATTCTATATTATACTCATATAAAATTTTACCTTTTGGAATTAAATAATTTCCTAGTTTAATTTCCTTAGAGACTTTTCTGCCTAAAACAGGTAACGGTGGAAATAATCTTAATGTTTCTTTAATAACACGTTCTAAGTACTCCATTTTATTCAAATCTTCATAGGTAGGCTGTCTATCTGAATTTTCAGATGAAAATATTGCTGTTAATTCTTCAAAAACCTTTGAATTAGTGAAAAAAATTTGTAAAAAATTCTGTTAATTTTAAAATAATTCATTTTTGTTTAATTTATTACTTGTTTTTGTGCATCTTGATTATGAGCTAACATAAATATTGCGCATGATATTGTCGTATTTGTAGTATCATGTCCCGCTATAATTGAAAATAAAAATTAAAAACCCAGCACAGGCTTGTTACGGCACAGTGGTGACGTGGCATAGTTGGATCAAGTATAATGATATCTAACAGTGATTAAAATCACTATCAAAAAAAAACGCTTCGATGCAAATCTTTAGATAGTGTTTAATTTTAAAAAAGAGGTAAAGGAAGACCAAAAATGAGATGGAAGGATGCTGTTGAATGCGATTTGAGGACAGCTGATGTGAGCGTAGAAGATGTGGGAGATCGTGTCAAGTGGAAGCTTAGGATAAGGGTGGCCGACCCCAAGTAATTGGGATTAAGTCGAGGAAGAAGTTAAAATTAATAAGGAAATTTAATTATATGTTAAAAAAAAACATGTTTAAACAAATTATTGTAACAAGCATAATAATATGTTGTTATTTTAATAATATATAATAACATATAACAAAAAAACCCAGCACAGGGGGGTCGCGGCACAGTGGTGACGTGGCATAGTTGGATCAAGTATAATGATATCTGACAGTGATTAAANTTGGATCAAGTATAATGATATCTAACAGTGATTAAAATCACTATCAAAAAAAAACGCTTCGATGCAAATCTTTAGATAGTGTTTAATTTTAAAAAAGAGGTAAAGGAAGACCAAAAATGAGATGGAAGGATGCTGCCTTA